GGTCCTGGAGGGCCGGTGTCCTGCAGAGTTTAGCTCCATCTTGCCTCAACACACCTGCCTGGAAGTGTCTATGCCTAGTAAGAGCTTGATTAGCTGGTTCAGGTGTTTAATTAGGGTTGGAGCTAAACTCTGCAGGACACCGGCCCTCCAGGACCCAGTTTGGACAGCCCTGATCTAGAAGCTTGCGTTCTGCAAGTGAGCGTCGCTTTATTGTTCATCTCAAAGAGGCACAAAATAACTTTCACAGAGTTTTAAATGAACTGTTCCCTCCTCCTCATGAGCTGCTCAACTCAATCCCAGCAGCTTCAAGAATCGGCTAAAAACACATCTCTTCCATCTTTATTTGATCCTCTAACTCTAGCAATCTCTATTCTAATTATATTCTTTAAAACAGAAAGAAAATCTCCCTTTTAGACTTGCACTCTATTCATTTACTGCTTGTTTTCTTTAAAAAAAACAACACTAGCTTTTTAAAAAAAATCTTTTTGTATTCTATTTGTTTTCTTTTTATTTATTATACAATTAACAAAAGCAAAAAAGGCCTCTAACACTAGCTTGCTCTGTTCTTTTTCTATTCTATCGGTTTTCTTTTTATTTATTATATAATAATAAAAAAAAAACCTTGCTAAGTGTGCTGCGTTAAGCTAACTGAGACTTGTTATAGCACTTGTGTATCATTGCTCTCTTGTTGATTCTGATTGCTTCTATTGTCCTCATTTGTAAGTCGCTTTGGATAAAAGCATCTGACTAAATTTATTTATTTATATTATCCCCCGGTTTCACAGAAAAGGCTTAAGCCTAGTCCCAGACTAAAGTGAAGGGCTGAGCCGATTCAGCTGAAAGAAACTTGCACTGAACTGATCTTAAAATATATATCAGTGCCTTTGTTTTGTCTCAAGATGCGCACCAGTAAAGTTTTTATTTTTAAAAGGCATGTTTATAAAAATTACTTAAATGTCCTAATTGAACTATGGCCTGATCCTGGCTGAGTCCAAGCCTATATTTGCGGACACTGGAAGCCTGCTTTAGACTGAGCTCCTCTGGATGTGTCCTCACACACACCTTGGGTCTGAAGAGCTCCATGACCGCGATCTTGCCGTACAAGCCGACCTCTTTGACCGGCCGCAGACCCTCCGCAGTGACCACATAGATCTCCAGACGCGTGTTCTTGGCGATCAGCAGGTTCAGATCCTCCGCAGAAGTGAAGTGACCTGCAGACAGACATCAGCACTGACATGAACACTACACACAGATCTAACACTCCTCACTAGCGCTGCTCTAATGCTAATCAGTGTCCTCACTCGTGTGTTTCTGACTGAACACTGGACGCGATGAGCTGCATGTACCTGTGTCACACAGGTGTGTTTACCTGCAGATCATCTTCGACAGCTTCATACGGGTCTGAACTCAACTCGTGACACGAGCAGCAGATCTAAACTAAAGTTTGTCTCATATTCACCAAAGCGCCGCAGACACGCCAACGGATCCATACCGATTAACAGCACGCAGAAGCACCGTGAAATCGGTCGGTGTTACAGACACACGCTGACGGATCTAAACCCGTTTTATAGTCTATGATCGAAACACGACACTAACGCTAGGCCCGAAGCGCGGGAGATAAACAACTCTCACCCGTGACGCAGGCGTTCACCGCCGTGGGCTTCTGCGCCGTCACCACGTAGTTGTAGGACATGGCGTTCACTTAAATCACACGAACAGCCAGAAATGAGGAGAAAAGGTGTTTAGAGCGAGATATGTTGCATGAATCCGCTGAAGAGCGCTCGGATCAGCAGCAGCGCAGCGTCCGTGTGTCTGCGCGAGAGACAGCGCCGCCTGCGGTCTGGAGGAAGCAGTAAGCTATGTTTCTTCTTCTTCTTCTTTTTGTTCAATGGCCGTTCACTCCTTAGCAGTATTACTGCCACCTACTGTATATCTTGTGCACATGGGTAATAAATCTGTATTGATATCAAGAAAAAGAAAAAAAAAACCTTGTATCTTTCTTCTGCTTTTTCCCGGGCCTCCAACAATCGCATTTCAACAATAGGTTCAGGAATATTCCATACCGATACCCCGTTTAATGGCATGTTGGGACAGATTTCTTCATTCTCCAGACCACAATCCTTGACCCACTGTTCATACTTCCATCCAAAACTAATCCCTCCATTCTTTTTATATTCCCAACAATCATTTAAAATCGTGCGTGTACGATGACTCCTATTACTACCCTGTAAATTAACCCAATACATCATCGCAAGCTTTTCTCTTCTTAAATCTAATGGCATCTCCCCCGTTTCGCCCCTGATGGCATCTAGAGGAGTTGATCTTATTGCTCCACAGCAGACTCAAGTGCTCTGGACTCTATGCTGTCCAGTTCCTCTCATTCTGCACTGCACACCCATAGTCTATACTAGACCGTATTAAGGCTTGATATACATGTAACACTGCACTTTTCCTTGCTCCCCATTACTGAAATCATGCAATTTATTACTCCTTTGCATTTGATTTAAATTTTCTTAATATGTCTCTTCCAAGTTAATTTTTCATCAAATATTAATCCAAGATATTTGACTCTTTCTAACAATTTCGACAATCTTTAACTTGTCCGATTTCCTTTCCACTTGTGAAGTGCCATTTACCACCGCACAAATGAATGCCACAAAGTCAATTTTATTCATCATAATATGTAGATCTGATTCCTTCCTCTCAGGATTTACTCCTTTCTGGATATAGGATTCCGTCCTGATTCCTTGCACATTAGTTCTCTTTGTTTCAACTATACCTTTGGCTTTTACCTTACGGGTAGCTTCTGCATATGTTAAATTTAGCACTGTTTTTATTTTTTGTACTTCACGAGCTTCTTGTTGCACAGGACATCCTCCCCCACAATTACAGCATTTAATCTCTACACCCTCCTCACACTTGCCATATTCATGTTCTCCCCCGCATTTTCCCTTTTCAAAGATTTGCAGTATGTCCCATTCGTTGGCATTTGAAACATCTCAAAGGTGGAGGTATGAACTCTCGTACCAAGAAGCTTACAAATCCTAGCTTCACTCTTATCGGCAGGGTACTTCCTTCAAACTGAATCATTACGCTCATACTTTCACATCTTTTATTGTCTTTCCACATCTGCAATCTTCTAGCAGAGATCACTGTGCCTCCACTCAGACTTCCTTTAATATCATCCATATTTACATTAAGTGGTACTCCTGAAATAACCCCTCGAACTTTATTGCCTGTTTCGGTGCATGCTATCCTTCCTCCCGCCAGTGTTTTCATTTTCAGAATTTTTTGCTTCTGTTTTTCATTCTTGCATTTAATCATTATTCTTCCATTGCTAAGAAAAGATACAGCTTCTCTCTGTAAAAAAAGGAAGAAGATCTCTTTCTTGATTGCTTTTGATAGTTTAACAGGATGAGTTTGTTGTTCTGACTGCTAAGCAAAAGTAATTATGACTTTAATTTCTCTTTCTTCCACCTCTTTATCAGCTTAAATTCTCGTATGTCTTACTTTATTAATTGTTTGCTCACAATCAGATCCATCACCCATGCTGCTCTTTTTTTTCCTTTAATTGTATCTTACTTCCTGATAATCCATGTCTTGATCATTGTCGCCATCCGAAGTATCTCCCCACACCATTCTCCCTTCCGCCATCTTTCCGCCAACACCCGGACTTCCTCTGGCAGCTCGAGAACCCAAAACACTAGCTATGTTTCCATCCAAAGATGCAAATTTAACTTATGGCAGCACACACTGGCCCAGCTAACCAACCACAGCACACTCTGGCCCAGCTAACCAATTCCAACACACTCTGGCCCAGCTAACCAATTCCAACACACTCTGGCCCAGCTAACCAATCACAGCACACAAATTTGCACACAAAAACACAAAAACACAAAAGCACACAAAAAAATTGATAGGACGATTTTGGTTGCTTCCACCCTTTTAGACAACCCAAGCTGCTCCAAATGCAAGCTGCTATCCATTCTCAGTCATTTAAATTTCACGATGTGCATCATCCCGCAGGGCCGCCCTTTTATCTCACATCTCCTGTCTCTCGCATCCTCCGCCCACGCTAGAGGATAGAATATCCGTCCACTAGAGGATCGAATATCACTAACTGACTTGTGCTGCAACGAGCTCAGCTTATGGATATCCTTTCTTAAACAATGGAACGGCCTATCTTTCTTTTATAATAACTTGATTTCTTCTCCCGTCGACATTCAGTTATTTACTGAACTGCAAAACATATTCCTGGTTCCAAAAACCAAATAGCTGACTCTCTCTCTCGCTTTGCCTTCTGGGTCCAAAAACCAAATAACTGACTCTCACTCTCGCTTTGCCTTCTAGAAATTCAGAATGTTGGCACCAGAGGCAGATCCGCTCCCGATCCCAGTACCTCCCAATTCAGAACTGATATTCCCGTAAACCATCCACTGAGACCTCTCCTCGAAGCTTCCCTCAACTCTATTCTTCAAGCCGTCTCCCCCAGGACCCTCCAATCTTACCTAATAGCATGGAAGTGCTTTAAAGCATTTCACTCTGCTTACAACCTGCCGTTCTCCAACTTTTCCTTGCTCGCCATCACCTCATTCATCTCTCACCTTAACATCAACAAAAATGCCCAGACACCAGGCAACCCATAACCTTACAAATATTGACCAAATGTATTTCTACCCTCCGCAGAGGTTATCATTCCATTCACACCACCCGCACGCTTGACGCCATGTTCATCCTGGCTTTCTTCGGTTTTCTCAGATGCTCTGAGCTCGCTATCACATCTAGCTTCAATCCAAACATCCACCCCACTATCTCCGATCTAGCAGTGCTGGATGACGAAACCATCTCTTACTTCATTAAGCAAAGTAAAACAGACCAGACCAAGAAAGGCCATTTCATTTTCAACCTCCAATCACCCATACTACCATACCAGGCCCTCCTAGCCTTCATCCAGCTCAAGAAATCACAGTCCAAACTCCCATCCGAACCCCTTTTTACAGACGACTCCAATCGCCCAGTCACTCGTTTCTGGTTTCAAAAGCACCTTAA